CATCAATGCCCGTCTCTAAACATAAAAACATTTGTTGTATTCCTGACATGTTGCTTAACTATTACATAACATTTAGAGCCATTAGTCGTGCTGGTGTAGAGCAGAGGAAGCAGAGTGGCACAACTTAAGCAGTACGTGCACCAGAAATCGTGACAAGGACAGAAAAACGAATGCATCTGAAAGAGCATGTGTGTATTTTGAATTTGTGCAGCCCTACACACAACACACAGCACAAATCCAAGTCAGTTGAGGACACAATGCTGATGTTTGTCTGGAGGCTACAGTGTGACTCCGTTCCAAATCTGCAGTCCAGACAACCAACACACAACCACACACACACACACTCAGACACACACACAGAGGAGAGGACAGCGATACCCGGGAGTGAACGTAAATCATTTAACATTTTAACTACTGGATCATGATATTATGGCCGCGCTGATGCCTGACAGGAAAAAGGTTTTTTAAAGCCGATAGTCCAAAAATAGTTTGTACAATTCAGCACATTTTATGTTGCATCATTCTTCCACTTTATGCACAACGCTTGGTGCAATTTAGATTTGGTTTAATTATAGTTTATTATTTTACTGTTTGAATGGTCCAGAGGGGGATTGAATTTGTGTGTTTTGCATTGTTAGGTTAATATTTGGGCAAGTGTGTCAGTGTAGCACAAGACATGTTTATTTCTTTAGATTTTTTTTCTATTTTAGGGATATAGCTTTTAACAACTGGCTATATGGTGTATACTGCAAGTACTGAACTATTTCGAGGGCCTAGCAGTGATTTGATTTTACATCTTGAGCAGTACTGTTGCTTGACGCTGACAAGCTAATTAGAGATAGACACATGTTTGGGCTGGCTGATTATCGTGGTCGAAATTTGGCATTTTTCCCTTTTCATCTGTATTAATATTTTTAATCAAACCGATTATTAATCAATTAAATACTTCAGGTCTGATGCAGCCTCCTCCCTCTGCGGTCTCGGAAATGTCGCACACAAGCCGATGCCACAAACAAGGAAACTAGCGACTAAGTGGCTAAAACTATGCTAACAGCTAAAAACCATAGACTGTATAAAAGATGGACGTAGCTACCGTGACGTCACCCGTTGGTTTCTGCACTGAGAAAATGAAGCCAGGGTTTTGCTACTTCCTGGTTGACATCTTGGATTTTTGGAGCCAGTGATGCAAAAATTGTCGGAAGGGGGCGGAGCCATAGGAGCAGCGATTGGTCAGATGGATTGAGAGGCGGGCCCTCTCTGCCCGCCCACATTTATCGCCTTCTGCTCGCTTCGTCTGTATGGTCACTGCCGACTGTCAATCAAGCCAGCCACGCCCCTTGCCCCGCAAAATGTTCACGATTTTTTAAAAATTCAGTGTTGATTTATTTTCAGATTGGCCACCTGATCTCTGGATTTGACCATGAAAACTAATAAGATAAAAATCCTGAGCTGTAGGAATGCAGTATTTCATGATCTGTGATCACTTCTTTTCCAATTCCAGTCTATGGGAGCCAGGGCTTTTTGGAGCCAGCAGCTAGCGGACGTAGTGATATTGCAGGTTTCGGACACTTCCAGGTTGGCTTCATCTTTCAGGGCCGGTTGCTACGTCCATCTTTTATACAGTCTATGGTAAAAACAGACAAACTGATCAATTCCAGTCGATCCCATGTAAATGAAGAGCATCCTAGTCTATCCCCCTCTGTTAATCTGCTATCTAATACTGTTAAAACATGACATTTTATGCTTAGCTACCAGTTGGCTCGATCACCAATGATTGGCCCTAATAAACAAAAGAAACAGAAATACAGTAGTGACTCGATAATCCGACCCTTAACAATCTGAAAACCTTGCTATCCAACAGGTTAAGGAACCCATGAAAAATAGCCTTAACAAACCGACAGCCTTGGCTTAAATGTGTCCAAATATCTGCAAAACACAACAACCGTCATCTGTTTGAGTGATATTACTGTCGATGCAGTTTGATTACTGCCACAAGAAGCTGAATGTAAGATGGTGGCTGTCTCTGTGGATAACCGTTTCATGCGACGTAACTCTACTTGTGGCTCGATGTTTTATTTAAGCAGCTCAGCCATAAGTGAGCTGCAACTAGTTCACTTTGTGTGACTCTGTGATAGGGGAACACAGCAAAAGTGAAGGAGCACCTATCCAGGGAGTCGTCGCCGCCGCCGCGCTGTTGTGCTCCGACATCTTTTGTACACGGCGTTTTAAAAGCTAATGTGAGCAGACACTTGTCATATTTACAGGAGACATCAAAGCACTTATGTACGTCGTCGAGCTTTGCTGCGAAGGTTATCATCGTCCCCGAGTAAATAGAGTGTGGTGGCATTAAAAAGTCATGAGTTGTCATGTTTGAAACAGTCAGTTTACAGCTTCACACTTTCAGAAGTCATCACCAGCCAGCCGTTACAAACACGATGGCGTTCTCAACGGGAGGAACGGCATTAGCAAATGAGGTGGAGAAAAACAGCGACGGACATTAAGTGACGCTGATAAAAAATGAGGTTGGGAACTAGATGAATCTAAGGGCTTGTGTTTAATGTGCTCTGGCAGAATGCTCCTGGCCCAGTGCCCCATTCAAACTGATGTCCACCCAGTCTAGCCCACGCCAGTCCAATCCCAACCATTTATCCAACATCGACTGTTGAAGCCCTTCACGAACGATCAACATGGCTGCTCCTGATGTGTATATAGGATCTTATCCATTTAAAAAGAACTGCAAGAGATGTTTTCTCTAAAAGAAAACCACTGCAATTAAAGCCTTCATTTATGAATTTATGCACGCATTTGGAAAACAAGCCGAGAGATTCAAGACTATGTGTTGATGCCGGGTTAGTTCAGAACTGTAGAGGCCACAAAAAAAAAAGAATGAAGGACATCATGTAGGAGACAAGACACAGTATGCAAGAAGAAAAACAGTGCATGGGTTAAGGCCTTAAAAAACAAACACTTAGAACGAAATGCATTACTTGTTTCTTGGTCATATAAGAAGAGATGAAAGCATGAAGGAAAACTAAGGACCAACTTGGCCTTGGCAAGTTTTATACACTTTTCAATACTTCCTAGCCTCAGTAAACAACAATTTAACTACAATAATGCAACTTGAATCCAGATAAGCAGTAGAAAAAAATTGATGGTTAATTTAGGTTTTGCTAGTTGTGCAGTTTTTGTCAGTGGGGTATCAATAATTACTGTTTGTCTCCCTGCATGCAAATGTCCCACCAACAATTCCACTCATCAGTATTTTCACTGAAGCAGCATCCTTAGCTTAGCTCTGCCCACGATGAATATAATTGGTTTAAAGAAATACACACAAATCAGAGCTAATTTCCCTCCCCTATAGCAGAATGACCGTGAGGTGAAGCCAGACCATTATGTATGACAGAATGTGCCGGCTAAGTGAGACAAAGTTTTCGCTAAAAGCTGCCCACTAAGCGCTAACGAGCCTTTTAGCGATCGTAGGTAACTGTGCTGACTGATGTGCAAAGTTTCCCAAAAGCCCACAGTTGGATACGAATTGCACATCACCGTAAACAGCAAGCAGGAGAGAAAACTGTTAAAGGGAATTGATTTCATTGATTTTAAGATCTGCAGCTATCCTGTAGAATACTGTCTGAGAAAAAAAAAAGCAGCAGCAGCCGTTTGGACTCACAGGATTAACCCCTGATCCCAATGTTGGTGAGGCCGCGACTGCTGTCAAGTTTGCACCGACTCCTTCCTCCGACTCCAGGCTGGACAGCACCTCCACTATCGACTGCAGAGACTCTACAGAAAGGGGACAGAGACACAAATGTCGAAGATGAGGTGAAAGATTAAATGATTCAGTGCCATTTGTTAAATCTAAGGAACCTGTGAAGCCTCAGACGATGCAGAAACACAGAGGTAAACAATATCACCGATAATCAATAGGTAATCATCCTTCATGTGTGGTTTAACCAACATAAGTTAACCAGATAAAATGATCCCGTTAACTCTCCGCTAGGGATCTACTTCAGGCTGATACCGATTATCGTAATTAATGATAGTCAGTACCCGATATACAATAAATGTAATGCTTTAACAACATGTGCTAGCAGAGAACATGTCATTCATAACTGGTTTCTTCATGTATAAGGATGACTATAACTTAATGTGCAACAGAAATAGGTTTGATTAAATTAGGATGCTCACTGAGCCTGATTAGTTTCTCCTGAGGTTACTGTTCTACTCCATTTTCTTAATCTTTCACTATTTTAATCACTTTTACTGCCTACTAAAGGGTCAATATCTTAAAACATTACAGGGTAATTTGTGGCTGCCTTCTAACTTAGTCGTTAGCCGTTAGCATAGCTTTAGCCACTGCGAGAGCAACTAATTTCCTCGTTTGTGGCAGCAGCTTGTGTTTCTTGTTCAGTTTGCCCAATCTCTGCTTGAGAGACATTTTCGGAGGCCACAATTTAATTTTGAAACCGTAGTTAAAAGGTTTGTCATCTCAGACAACGGTGCCCTCGTAATTTGAAATCAAGGAAGAATTAGCAGAGAGTTCAAATTTGTGTTTGTCGGCAAAAACAAAAAGTTCAGCAGTGATCTTGGGAACCTAAGTGGGTGTAGGCTAAGTTAGCTGCTGCCATAGGCTTCATATAGGCATGAGAGTGGTATCAATAGTCTTTTAGCTCTTGGCAATACAGTGATTTAGCATAATTCCCTAAATGTCAAATATTTTATTGAACATATTGTTGTGATTACATGCACTGAAATACATACAGTTTATCTACTAATGTAAGCATATTTCTTAAATTTTAGTATTTTTAGTTTCATTGGTCTGATATGTTTCTATTGCTGTTGTAATAACAAAAGACACTTTAATTTATCAATACGAACGCTTTCATCTAAAATCCCAATCAACATTTCTCAACTGATGTAAACCTTTGAGTCCCATATACAGTATCTGACAAATTGCTTTTTCTCAGTGAAACTCAAACACGAACAATCACCCAGATAAGTATAATTAAACCTGCACTTTAGCAGGAATGAGCTTTAGGATTTTTTGCTCCAAAAGATTTTTAATCTCAAGTTAAATGGATTCAAGTTAAATTAAATTCTAGGGAGATGTTAACACACAGCATGACTTTAAATTTTAACACCTACTGATCAAGGAGCAGCTTTAAAAATGGACGTGACGCCCATAGTTGGTAAGAATCCACCAGTTCTCTCTTCTAACATTAGTTGTTTACATACTCGAGACTTTGAGTCCTCACTGCGTGATACCAGTTTGCCAAGAAATGGAGTGTAAATATGTACACCCAGGTAGCACGAGCCTGGAATACCAACTGATCAGACTGGACAGAGTCAGTGAGTAGAGACAGAACAGAGGTAGCAACAAGTGTCTATAATAGGATACAAATGAGGAGACACTACAAAGCTATGCTAATGAGACCAGCTACGGCCCTGTGGGACTGCCACCTCCGTTCAGCTAATGTTAACACCGCCGCCCTCTCTTCAAATGTACTTCTGAGAGCGTGGAGAGGGCGGAGGAGGCGGACAGAAATAATAGTCACCATTTGCCACCCACTTGTTTGCGTGAGACCTTTCAGGATCAACAGCACACTTGTTCATACTCGATATCGTATTCACCTTGGCTTCTTTTCTCCACCATCTGGTCTTGTTACCAAACTCGCAGTAAATACAGATTAGCTGATAGTAAAAAAAAAAAAAAAAAGGGCTCATTTGGCTGAAAATGCAGTTCATGTTGTTTCAGAAGGTTCACACTCACAATAGCTCACTCAGACAGTGTGACTACACGATGACTCCACTGGCCATGTGCTTCGATAAATCTGAATGGTAATTCTTTGCTGAAATAATGTGGCTGAGCTCTCAGAAGGTGGTTACACTCCATCAAAAAGAACAGACATTGATGACAAAGTCAAGAGGCCTCTATTATAGGCATCATGAATACAAATATGAGAGGGCTTGTGGGCCTCTAGAAGGTAGAGAAGCTCATAAACCTCCAGAGTGGAAGAGACTCTGCTACAGCGCCAAAGAAATAAGATGACGTAAAGAGAAGGCCTCGTAAGAAAAAGAACCCCAGCAAGTCTATTCTGATTAGGAAGACTCAAAAGAACTGCCAGAACCAAAACTGTTAGCTGTCCTATCAACGATTGAGTAAGAACTATGCTGATATTCAAAGATACCTTTTAATGAAATGCAACATTAATTCCACCTAAACACTGGCTGAATGCCTAGCGACATCATTTTGACCATAACAGTCTGAAACGAGCACATCACGAGCTCCATCACACCATCAGCGACTCCAGGTAGTCCAACTGGTGACACTAGATGATCTAATGCAGGATTTCCATGTAGGGAAAACCTGGGGACACTGCGTCACTCTGAAGATTCAAGCTAAGAATATCAACAAAAGCATTTAAGCACCAGTCAGTAGCAAAGATGACTAAGTGGCAACGGCAGCCCAGCCAGGCTGTCGACAAGCAAATTCCTGCTGGGAGGCCTTGGAAGACGGGACTCCATCAGCACTTGAAGATTCGGATTTCATGAAACGGCTTCAAGAACTAATTTCTGAAATTTTTGGACTGATTCTTTCCAAATCCAAGTAAAATAATCATCTGTCCATCCATCATCTATACACCGCTTAATCCTCACTAGGGGGGCTGAAGTCTATCTCAGCTGACTCAGGTTGAAGGCAGGAGACACCCTGGACAGGTAACCAGTCTATCACAGGGCTACACTTAGAGACAGACAACCAAGCACACTCACATTCACACCTACGGACGATTTAGAATCACCAATTATCCTCAGTGGAGAACCCAAGAGAACCCACGCTGCACGGGGAGAACATGGAGACTCCACGCAGAAAGATCCTGGGTGTCCTCACTGGGACGCGAACCGGCGACCTTCTTGCTGCGAGGCGACGATGCTAACCACCGAGTCACCTTGCAGCCCCGTAAAATAATCAGATTACATAAAAGCAGGAAAAGACTAATTTACCTGTTTGACATTTGGAATATTTGAAACAAATTTACAGCCTGTTGCTGTTAGCTTTGAATGCACATAATCTGCCTGATTTACTGCTTGCAAAAGCTAACGTTTCCTAGCCTTACTGCTTCTTGTCTATGTGGGAGCCAACAGCTTTGCACCTGAGGCCTTCCGCTACAGTTGGAATGTCCTTAAAACACCCTTATGCCTCTTACAGACACTGGCTGAATTTTGTTTGTCAATGAGAGTAAGGGATACAGATGCGGTTAAGAAAAGAGTGGGTCAGAGTGACCTGAGGCAGGATATTTAGCTGCGCCTCAGCGAGCAGACAGGATGAGAGCTGCAGCTGAAGGTAGCGTCAGGACAAAACTCTAGAGTAGCTCCAGACGCACAGATGTTCGACTCCCACACTGTTCGTCCACCAGTAGAACATGAGTGTTTGAACAGTAGAAGACAGAAAAATAGCTTCTTGTGATGTCTGACATGGCTGACGCACATAGATGCCAAATGTCTGCGTATAGGAATTGTCCACTATTTATATCATTACTTGTTCCTGGGCAACTTGCTTTTTTTGTATCTCAGCATTTCATTAAAGAGTTATAGTTTGATAACTATCAGACCAGAGAGATAAAAATATAGAAACCTACAGTGTGAAGGTTTCGCAGCCTCTCCTCAGTGATGTAAGAGGACAGATCATGTCAGGTCAGACTTTAAATAATTTCCATTGCAGCAAAAGTATTTGCAGTTTAAATACCATCCAGCATCTATAGCAACTGCTATGAATAGAAAGTTGTGGTCATGAACCAAAGTGTCGTCATCAAGCATCACGTTGGCTGCTAAGGGTTGTGAGTGAATAGGAAGAGGAGAAGAAGACAGTAAGTGGTTGGAGAACTCTCCTTTATTTTAATTTTGTTCTGGTAATAGGCTCAGGCAAGCTAATCTTCCCACTTTAACGTGAGGGTTTAACAAGGCTCCTGTACCGGAGTGTCTCGGTAACAACTCCAGAAACTAATCACACCTATAACTGCGAGCATTTCCTCACCGAATTAAACCCCTTGACAGCTGACAACTTTCCTTTTTTTCTTCTTCTTCTTTTAACAATCCACTAATGTACACAGAGGATTGCATTAAATTAGCTGGCATTAGTGTCAACTTCCATTTCAGTTTTGCAGCTTTCTATTTGGGTTTACAGCATTATTTTGGAAATGTCTTCATCTCAGACATTAGGGGGGGGAAATCCTTGACTTCCTTTGCTTCATGTAACAAATTAACATGGGATTTAAGTTTTTATAATTTGTTAATATCACAGAGAACATAGCGTCATACCATCCACAGTAGGAACATGTGATGAAAACTATTACATCACACTGTTTCAGTATTTTGCAGCATTATAAAACCACAATTTCTACCACAATTAAAATAATGCGACTGAGTAAGCTGTAGAAAAGGAATGGATCAATAAACCAATTAAAAACCGATACTTTAGTTACGTGTGTCTTGAAACTGACCCTTATGAACTAAAGAGCTTCCTACTTACTGTAACTCAATGTAAGGTGTTGGTTAAGTTTCAGCACCATAAGACTCGTGTCAGAGTGCAGACAATCCTACTTTGTGTGCAGCATTTCCTGACTGCAATCAGACCTACAAAACATTATATAACTGACATTACTGTCTACAGCTGGACTTTGCTGAACTTTATTATTACTATCTTCAGGGCATTTGGTGAGGAAACTGAATTCAGTGTTGATTTTTTTTTTTTTTTACACTTTTCAGACATCCTGTTAATGCGCCTTCCTACACAAACCGTCCTCACATAATGTGACTGTACACAGTTTGTTGAGTTAGCAAGCTACAGGAGGAGCAGGTACTGTTAAGAAGCCAGAGATGTGTTTCACAGCTAAAACTCCTTTTTTTTTTCCAAACATGAAAGATAATTCTGTGTTTAGAGCACCAGGGAGCTAGCTTTCTGAAGGCCAAAGGGCTGAATGTGTAGCCAAGCAATGATCTGCGATTTGAATCATTCTGACTCAACAAAGAATGAGTCAAACAAGTGTGAAAGGGTGATCTGGATGCTAATAGAGAAAATCTGTGGGAATAAAGCTGTGTGGTTACCGCTTTGAAGAGAAACGATCATGTTCACAATGAATAAATGGCCATTCACGACAGCAGGCTTGTAATGAATTCAGAAATTCTGTGGCTTCATAAAGACGTCGCACTCTCACTGCAAAGAACATCGACATGAGACCTACTGTATCTTTATGTGTAAACGTGTATATGGACTCTGTACACACATGGACCAATACATGTACTCAGTAGGTTACTGTGTGCGTGTATTTAGGGCAACGCATTGCTGACCTTGTACAGAAGTAGGCTTGGTGGCGTCTGTAAAATCACAGATTTTGTCCCACTGGTCCCTGACGCCCTCAGGACTCATGGGCTTGTTCTTTTTTCTCACAATCTGGCCCCGAGAACGCTCCCAGCGCACTGCACATGTGGACACACAGAAATAAAAAGGGGTCACTGCGTGGTGAAACCCACACACATACAGTAGTGGTGAACCAGGGGCTACAGAATCTCATAAATGCATAGAGACATTTCCTCAGGAGAAACACACAGTACTCACATTTACCGATCCAGCCCGCGCCAACCTGAAAAAAAATAAGTCTTATTATGGAAACATCAAAATACATCAGTGGTACATTATTGTTCCCAATGACAAACTTTAAAAATGACACAAAGCTACATGAGACTGTGTTTTTTTTCCCTGTATACCTCAAACAGTCCTCCATTTTCTTGGCATTGCTCATGACAGAGCCAGAGGACCAGAGGAGCAACATGCTCGGGCTTCAGCGCCGCCACAAGATCTAAATAAAACAAAGCACACATAAGCACAATGAGAGTAGAGCTGCTTTTTATTGCACTGCATCTGTTCTACAACTGCACTAAAGGCAAGAGGAGTGCTTCTGCTTCAGTGTCTGTTCTTTGGCTGTTGGTGTTTTATTAAAATGGTGCCGCGTTTGTCTCATTTGTTCATTTTCAAAATACTTGAAGTACAAGCTCTGGGTTTTTAGACAAACTTCAAGCGTTTGTCCTCCTGCTGCAGAGCTACGCATGAATACAAGCTGCTGTTTATTTTTAATGTTAATGAAAAGATTATGGAGGGAATACCCTTTTATTTTTTCATATGGTGTAATATATATGCAAGGAAGTAGTTTCTTACGATTGTTAAAATACATGTATGCCGAATGGACAGTCTCTAATATATGCTGATAAATCAAGAGCATGATTGTCGTCAGTCCTTTCATTATGTCATTTGTCCGTGTGCTTACATTATATAACCTCCTAACACCGACTAATACTGTCATCTATAAACAAAACTACCTCTGAATGCATGACAAATGGGTGCAGGTCGAAATCAGTTTAAACTAATCTAAAAATAAAAGTCTTGGTACTGTTGGATGGATATTCATAAAAGCTGAAAACCAGCTGGAGGAGTCATGAGCAAGTACTAATTATTTGCCATCAAACAGATTCCTGAACATGCTGGAATGAAGTCAGAAATCAAACATGGCACAAGCTTTTCATTTCTCTGTATGAACCATTTAGGATTTAACACCAGGCACCATATGTGTGCTGAAAATATCTGTACCCTGGTGGTAAAAAAAAAGGAGCCGTTCTGCTTCGCTGCACTCGTCGGGAGTTTAGACGAGTTTTGTTGTTTGTTTTAAAAGAAACGTCTGAGTCAGTGAAAGCCAACATATGGATCCAAGTCATTTACTAAGGTGAGGCCATCCTGTGACAGTTGGCGCAGCGCGAAGTGACAGATGCTACTGAAGACCAGCACGGCAGGGCAACAAAACCATTCCTTTAATTTGCCACTTAATACCCTTGTCAAAAGAGCTTGCGCGGCATGCTAATGATACGCAGATACTGGGTTTGGTGGCTCGGAAAAACATCCCCAGTCTTTGTGGGCTTCTGAGATCCTTTTAAAAACACTGCAGGCAATGTAATGCATGTCACGATTAAAGCTGGAATTTTGAAATTTTGGTTTGTTTGATACAATATTCAAATGCAGCACAGTGTCTATTGTTTAAGAGCTATATTTCATTGTGTTCCTTGTAGGTATTCAGTGCTGCATGACCTTCTGTCTTAAGAAACACTTGCATAAAGTATAAATGTTGCATTAGTAAAGCAACATTTGTGAATATTTGGAGGCACAGCAAACAGCTACAGTAAGATAAGGAGGCCAGAGCCGCCTGTTTAAATCAAAGGCTGACACATTAAAACTTTTAAAGCACTTACAGGGTGCACGATTTCATCATGGCTGTTGGAACAGCAGAGAAAACACAGCTCTTGAATATTAGATGACAAATTTGCATGTCAAACGGGAGTGCTGTTGCCTCAAATTTTCTAAATCAACATTACATTATGCAGCTGCTATGAAAAAAAAAATAAAATCCATTTGCCTATTGTGGCCGGTCCAATAAGAGCATGTGCAGCCATACATCAAACAATATGCATTATGTAGACCGACTGCATGCAATGTGTGTCATTTAATCGCTCCGCTTACCTGGGGGCATGACGGTCTCTGTGAGGCGTGACCCAGCAACAGGAGCAATGGTGTTGCAGTAAACGTTGTACTTCCTTCCCTCGATTGCCAAGGTGTTAGCCAGACCCAGCATGCCCAGCTTGGCAGCGCTGTAGTTAGCCTGGCCGAAGTTGCCATAGATGCCTGCGGCTGAAGCCGTCATGATGATTCTGGCCACAGACCACCCAAGGCGACAAGTCAGTGTTAATGCAAAGTGACAGGCATCGCTATGAAGTAACGGGAGACGCAGACGGCCCACACACACACACACACACACACACACACAATCTCACACACTGGTGCAGTTTTCATGCATGCACAGACACACAGGAGTATGTAAGCATCTAGTCATGTAATGCTATCCCATTTACATACACCACTGCTTTACCACAGAAGCATGTTTTAGGCTATTAGATGATAACTAAAACCAGAATGTCCTTAAAAATATGACAGCAGACGTGCTTATTACCTCAAACACATATTCTCAAGAGCCCACTTAAAGTGGAGAACATAAAAACCAGTATCTTTGGGACCGATAACTTCTTGATTACAGTCCAGCAATGGTCCGTCTGCAAAGGACACAGTAACTATGTTGGATCTATAAAAATCCCTCCCACGTAATAGGAGGATGGCGCAGCTTTTACCCGCTCCGATAGCTGTTACTAGCCGCACTCCTTACCGGCCAAACTTCTGATTTTTCATGTGGTTCCAAGCAGCTCGAGTCACCAGGAAGGAGCCTCTCAAGTGAATTCTCTGAATCAAGTCTAATATGCAGAATAAGAGAAACGACGCATTACCAGATAACATTCCACACTTCTGTTGTGTCGCATTAGAACAGCGTGGATCAGATCCAGCTTACAATAGGGTTTCTTTTTAAAAACTCCCACACAGACAATCTGTTTTATAGATACAACAAACCCAAGTTGAAAACACATTCTACATATAGCGCTGTGGTGGGCCGATCTAAAGAAAATAATGTGATGATGTGAGAGATGACCCAAATATAGTGCGAGCTAATGAGTGAAGCGAATGTAAAGATCACACATAATTTAATTACCCCAGTCCAAATCACTCGTCCTGGCAAATGATCTGTCACGAAGTATCCTTGGCAAAGAGAAGCAATAAAGGATTTTAGTCTTTTCAGCCTCTGAGCCAACACTTAAGGTGCTCTTTTACGTGATTATAGTGGCCCACACTCACATTAACAGGTTAACTGCCACCAAATGGCCATTATAGGACCAGATGATTCAATCAAACCATAAAATTAAAAAAAGTGTGATTAGTGTGAAATGACTTACCCAGCATTGTTTACAACAACATCTGAAAGAAAAGACATATTTCCAGATTTAATTAACCAGAGTAATAATATCACTGACAATCATTCAATGTAATAATGCAGCACTTGGGATAAGTATCATCCCTAATGAAAAAGATAATACACACCTATTCTTCCAAATGCATCCAGTACTGCCTGAACCAGTTTCTCTCCATCTTCGACAGAATCTACACGTGAATGACAGAAAAGGTCGTGTTAGTTTTCCATTTGATCAGTGACGAATCTTAAAATATTGTATACAAGTGTGGTTTCAGGGGGACTCCATCTGTGCCTGGTTCTTGTTTACGTTCAATTAGATTCTTGTCTACAGAGTTTGATCAAGGAACAATATAGAGTGAGTGTTACAGAAAGGAAACAGAGGTAGGGAGGCTTATGAGAAACTATTAATATGTACTGAGAAAGTTGACGGCCTCTAACACAGTGATGATGTGTGACATAATGCTCTTATTGATTGCTGAGCATTGCTGATTGTTACAAAGGGGATGAAAACTATGCCAACAAAATACTACACAACACACTGATAAAAGTCCTGTATTGTTCTCTTAAACATTTTTTTCTTCTTATGTAAGAAGATGAAAAGGAAATACATTCGTCTTCCACACTCAGCCTTATCAGCAGGCAAGTCGGACTGAGAAATCAATACCGTTTTCAGTCTACTATTAGAAAAACAGGAATTCTACAAGGTAAGCAAAGGCAGAAAAAAAAACAGATGGAGATGACAACGTGGAAGAAAAGACAAGACGGCTACTCCAAACTTCTCACCGTAGTTCGCCACAGCCTTGCCTCCTTTCGCTCTTATCTCCTCCACCACCTTATCAGCAGCGGCAGAACTCTTTCCACCCCCTTTAGTGTCTGTCCCAAGGTCATTCACTTCATTGCAACAAGAGAAGAAAGATTAGCAATAATGGGGCGAGTTGTGCAATTCTCCACAAGTGATTGGGGTAAGAAAAGAGTGTGGCTAAGCTGATTCCTTGTCAGAGTTTAGGGCAAGTTCTGTTTCGGCAGCAGGGAAAGATATTTTGGAAAGGGCAAATGTTTATGGCAACATTTGCAAATGTGTGAGCTAGAAAGTAGCATCATCACTGTAGCAGTCACTGCAACACAAACTTCTTAATGACATTTTGAAATACAGCTTGATATTTTTTTTTTTTTTCAACCAGTTCTGGGTGTCTGACACCAGGGCTATTTTCTCCTCTACATGTAAAATGTGCAGAACTCACTACGTGAAACAAATGGTCATATTTTTCCTGGTACCAGGTGTTCCCACTGTGACTGAACAAATGCAACTGGTAGCAAAAGCTTGGTCATCATATCACAGTGATACTGATCTGTTAAGGTTTACCAATACTGGATCTATGCATCCCAAATGAAATCAAAGCCACAGCACCTCTAAACCAGCAGTCATCTTTAGCACCATCTCTAACATGAAGGTGTAAGAGTCTGCAGGTTTTTACTTATGTCCTCATGTTATGCAGATAAAGATCACTGCTGCTGCTTTTCTGAATGCATAGTAAGCAGAAAATGGCATCAACTGGGCTGAAATTAATGTCATTTTCATTGTTTATTAATCTGTCAACCATTTTCTCAAATACTCTAGAAAATGTTTGTTAAATTGTATAACTGTTGGTCAGTATTTCCTAAAGCCCACGATGTCAAATGTCTTGTTTTGTCCTCAACCTGATAATATTTGGTTTACTGTCATTGAAGAGTAAAGAAACCAGAAAATATTTAAATTTAAGAGGCTGGAATCACAGATTTTGGACTAACTGTCCTTAAAAATAAAAATATCAAACCAACTAGTCAAATATCAAAATAATTGGAAAGTAATAGTTGACAACTAATCAATTAATTGTTGTACTCCTATTAACCAAAATATTTTAATAAGATTCCTCAAAAGGCTATATCAGGGGTGTCCAATCCTGGTCCTTGAGGGCCACAATCCTGCATGTTTTAGATGTTTCCCTCTTCCAACACGCCTGATTCAAATGATCAGGATCGTTATCAGGCTTCTGCAGAGCTGATCAGGTGTGTTGGAGGAGGGGAAACATCTAAAACATGCAGGATTGTGGCCCTCAAGGACCAGGATTGGACACCCCTGGGCGATACGATTGATGCATCTAGCAACCTGAGGGAAAATCTGGAAATGCATGCACAGATAAATATAAACATGCATGCTGATGTTTCATGGCAAAGAAACAAACAAAAAAAAAACTTGGTTAAAGCTTACAATGGTTTTGTTTTAGCAGTTAAGTATAGGTATCAGCATATCCACTGCTTGCTCTTAAAAAAAACAAAAAAAAAAAACACAAACATGAGCCCGGAACAAATATCCTTTATTTACCTACTACTAAGGCGCCTCTTTCAGCAAAACTCAGTGCATATTCTTTGCCAAGACCTGTGGAAAGAAAGGCAGAAGAGTTCAGCTTGAGTGTACGGTTACAGAATAAAACCAGCGACTACTGCTGTGGTGTGCCCTTTGACACACTTCCACTGGCGTGATCGTACTTTGCTCCCTGTGCTCTAAAGCTTAAATGGTTGATATACACATGGATAGCAGCACATTTATTTAGGCCAGGGGTGTCTAATCCTGGTCCTACATGTTTTAGATGTTTCCCCTCTTGTGATCAGCTCATCATCAAGCTCTGCAGAAGCCTGATAACGATCCTGATCATTTCAATCAGGTGTTTTGGAAGAGGGGAACATCTAAAACATGCAGGACAGGATTGGACACCCCTGGCTTAAATAAATCTACTGCTATCCATGTGTGTATCAACCATGTTGTAGGTTACAGCAATAATAAGGTAGGTTTGTTTACTGTAATGACTTTGCAGATCTGTGCGGGCAAAGTTACCTACACTTACTCCTGGGTAGATAACACTTCACACAGAAAGATAGCAGATTCATGCAGTAGCTGTCTAAACAACTTAATTGAAGGAGTTCCTAGAAAGACACACACTGACTGAACATGCAAGGTGAACCTGTAACTTAAAGACATAACAAAGACAAACTGCCCAGAACAGAGAACTTCTTCCATCTGCATAGGTAGCATGATAACAACATTAATCCTGACAGTCCTTTAACTCAGGGAGCTCCTCTCCCACAACCCCTTCGTTGTGTGAGATTCAGTGAACTTGCTGAATAAAGACAACATCCTCGTTTTGACAGCGCTGACACCTCTTCACCCACCAAAGTCCACCATTAGCAGGTTAGCATCCCGAGCTAACGTTACAAAAGCTAGTAACGGCAGCCTCGCTAACGGTCGGCTTACCTCCTCCGGCTCCGGTGACAAGCACGACTCTTCCCTCGAACGACAGAGACATTGCTGCGAGATGTCACGGTGTGTTCCTTCCTGAGCAGTCCTGACACAGGGGCTACGAGGGCAGCACTGCTTTTCTGGAAAGACAGCAGGGTGAACTCCTACAAGTTCCACTTCCGCGTTAAACAGGGGGACGTTCTCAGCAGCGACCAATCAGAGAGCGGGATTTTATTGCGCTGCTTTCACTCCACTTGACTTCACACATGCAGTCCGTGTGTTTTCATCTTATGTTTTCATCCTTAAGAAGCTATTTAGGTTACCTTTGCGAGCCCCAGTATTTTATTATTCCTCATTTATTGCATTTTTATTTGATGACAGACTGATCTTTTTAATTTGGATATCATCACACAATTAAGTTGCTAATACATCAACTTTAATGTAATTTTATTTACACGCACAACACTGCTTGATATTGCAGAGTCTTCAAGTAGCATGCAGTGGGAATGCTCAATAAGGTAAATATATTAAAGTTTTGTAGTTGTCATTGAGTAAATGTACTCATCTAATGTGTCTGATATTCACGTTTCAAAAGTCTAAAACAGCAAGTTGCTCGTTTTTCTTCATTTCAGAAGAAGCCTCTTGGATGACATGTCTTGAAGAACCTAAAAGATAAGCAGGAATTTGGCAGGATTGTCATGACCTGGATGGTGAATTAAATGTTTGGCATTTTGCCTGAAAAAAAGGACTTAAACTGTCAAAATAGTTCTCAGTTTACTTCCTGTCAAACTAATAATCAATAACTGACATCAGCTTTATTTGTCAATAGTGTTGGGTAGTTTAATTATTTGGCTGTTTGTGTGTTAACCTAGTAAATATCAAAATAGTGTAGCAAAGCTAAAAGTACCTCAATTTTGCACTTGTGACTGAGTCCCATTCAGGACTGTGAGGGACCCAGCTGCAAAGCAGGAGGACTCGCAGGTGAATTCAAAACGGGAAAAAAAAGGGTTTTTATTTCACCCAAAAATTGACAAAGTTCCAAAAATCAATACTTAATTCAGGCCCAGAAAAAAAGGACAAAAGAACACAACCCAGCACCAGCAGCAGTGATCAAACACATTTTTCACACTGAACAAAAGGGGAGACTGGCTCATCAGACCAGTTACACACAATAGGGGAAACACAAAACAGCTACACCTAACAACTAACGACAAAAAGCACAAAACATTACAATTACTTAATCTAAATAATCATAGGTAACAAAATCACAACATATTTAACTACCCAACACAAATCAAATGAAAAAAGTAATTATTAAGTCAAAATAAATCTGATCCACCCCTTCAAGTTGCAGGCACTTGGTATGGTCTGATTGGCAGCTCTGGTATAAAATCCTGCTGCTCCCATAAAGACTATTTTGCCTGAAACCAGCCAGATGATGACAGCTGCAGAAGACTAGAAATCCCAGAACTGGTAAAACAAAGAAAAGGTTAGTACAACCTAAAAACAACAATACTAAACATAGAAACGTTAACTAAATGTGCGTGCTACAAATACAACTTAACCAAAGGCTAAATAAATGATGAGTGTGTTGTTTGAAATTATAGATTATGTTTTATTTATGTGTTTTTGTATGTGCAATATAAGTGTCAAAAGTGTTTCAGCTTAAACTAAAGCGGTTAATGGGGTTAGCGACGTGGTTCATGGTTGGATGGCTACAAGTGCTGCCACACAACAACTGAATTTGCATTCACTGGACTGGTACATTTTGCATTATTGTAAGCCAGTGTTATCAGCTTGTTTGAGTAACCAAGCCCAAACAATATGAAATGGAAACAAAGCAAATTGTCAGTTGTGTTAAATCGTCACATTTCAGAAGTGAAAACCATGAACCGTTTTGCAAGAAAAATTACTGAAACAATCAAAACAGTTGCCAACTCATTCTCTGTCAAACTAATCATCAGTTTGGTAATTTCAGCTCTGCTTGTATCTACTCCCATCGTTGCCAACCGCTTGCTCAGAGTGAGTCCAAAAGCAACTTTGGATAGTTGGGTTCTCTCTTTAAATTTGTATGGTCCATACCATGTTAAGCGCTGTGAGGTGGTGTATGTTGTAAACTGTGCTATACAAATAAAATTGACTTGACTTAAAGGAGCATGAAATGGAAAAACTGGTTAGGGTAAAAAGTACCTCATTTTTGTACTTGTAATTGAGTAATGAGTTACGTTCCTCGACTGAATTTGCCTTAAGTGTAATGGTTCAGGGCTGTATGGTGGGTCAGTGGTTAGCACTGTTGCTTCACAGCAAGAAGGTCGCTGGTTCGCGTCCCGGTGTGGACACCCGGGATCTTTCTGTGTGGAGTCTCCATGTTCTCCCCGTGCAGCGTGGGTTCTCTCCGGGTTCTCCAGCTCCCTCCCAGACAGTCCAGAAACATGTTGAGGTTAATTTGTGATTCTAAATTGTCTGTAGGTGTGAATGTGAGTGTGCTTGGTTGTCTGTCTCTAAGTGTAGCCCTGTGATAGACTGGTTACCTGTCCAGGTGAACCTGCCTTCACCCTGAGTCAGCTGGGATAGAATAAGAATAATAATCAGTTAATCAACTAATTTTCAACTCTACTTGTCTGTAGTGTTGGGTAGTTATTAATTATTATTCAGATGTTTGTGAGTTAGCGTAGTGACTATCAAGTTAATGTAGAAGAAGTATAATGTAGCATGAAATGGAAATGCTGATTAAGGTTAAATTTAAAAGAAAAAATAAAAACATTTTGTACTTAATTGTGATTGAGCAAAAAAACTGGAATTTTCATTGTTACTTATCACCTTGATTTAAAATCTGTAATACTGGACGAATAGATTAAATATTCTTTGATTATTGGTAAAATACGATGAGAAAATAACTGAAGTCATTATATTTAAACAAATGTAAAAAATAAAAACTTTTGTGAGCACAACATAACAAAACATTATAAAACAGAAGTCAGCCAGGGATATTTACTAAATTATATGTAGCTGTAAAACACGTAGAACACGGTTTAATATAAAATACAAGGTCATAAAAATGGAAGAAAAAAAGAAAAGGTTTTCTCTGAATTTTTATTTATGAACTAGTCGAGCAGGTATGAAAAAACTCTATTTTTTTTAATGACAATTTAAAGAAGAAAAAAAAAACCCAAAGTGAGTCGTGTAAAGAGAGAGAGAGAAAGAGAGAGAGAGAGGTAGAGCGAGAGAGAGAGAGAAAGACAGAGAGAGGTAGAGTCAACAGAGAGAGAGAGAGAGAGAGAGAGAGAGAGCGCGCATCATCTGCGCCCGGACGCTGCTTTGGCTGCTCAGACTCTCGGAGGACGCTGCGATGGAGACACGATGAAACTGACGGGCTGTTTTTCGGAGGAAAGTGCCTCTGGGGGTGTCGTTCGCTGGCGGCTTTCCGGAGCTTATCGTCACCAGAACCGCGTATTTGTGGACCGAGGAGGAGTACATGACGGTTCTGTCGATGCCTGAGGATTATGGACCGTTACAATAACGACCGGCGGTATTTGGATAGCTGCCTGTTTCTTCTTCTCCTTCTTCTGCTCCTCTCAGTTCTTCTCGGTATCTACCGTAGCTAACACGTTTTTTTATTTTTATTTTTTTTAATTTAATTTTTTGTCTTTTTATTTATTTTTTATTTTTTGGCGCATTTCTCTCGCTCTCAAAAAAAAAAGAAAAAAAATGTTGAATTTAGCGCTCTGTCGACGTGAGGGATATTCGTGGCACGTCATTCTCTGCTGTCGTCGGACATAAAGGTGCACAAACCTGCCGTTTCTCAGACACTATGAGACAATATTTTGACATAAGCGTTATTTTTTCGCGTTCCGCTCTATTGCGCATGCCTGGTGGTGGATATAGAATGCTGCCCGACGCCGCTTCGCTCCGTCCTGGCCGTGATGTAGGAGCGAAAGTGGAGGCAGCGGAGGACTAAAACACTGAATACAAAAAAAAAAAAAAAAAAAAAAATGCGTTGGCAAAGTGGCAGCGTGGCGACCAAAGGATTTGACACGAGATCCTTCGCGAACTAAGACTGTGGCCCATAAACTGAAGAATGTCAGGGACACCAAATGCAGACGCTGAAGGAGTAGTCTCCAAAGTACAAGTGAAAAAGGAGATCAAGACAATCGTGGAGAATCTGGAAACCATCCTGGGAGACCTCAAGGATGTAGCCAAAGAGCTCAAAGAGGTAAATTAAAAAAAAACCCAAACTCCTCCATGTGTTGTGTTGTTCCTACAGGCGTCCCCTTGGGAAAGGATGCTCTTTCTAAGCATCCTTGCCTGAGAGGAGATGGGAGGCTGACATCCACCTTGACTGGGGCCTGGAAAAGACTACACACTCACTCACACACTCACTGACACACACACACATATTCCTCCTCCTTTGCCCACTAATGTATAGGCTATATGTGATCATTATCTCCAACATGAAAAGACATTTGGCAGAGGAGGACGCCGGGTGCCAAGTGACAGGACACCGTCTTCGCCCCCTTCTGACTCACGAGCTTTGATGAAAGTGAGAAAAATGTAATCGCAATTAATATTTAATGGGCAAGTTGGTTCAACCAGGAAGGCGCTTTTGCATTGGGTTTCATCATCTTAATGCTGACTGTTGTTTGCTCCGAATTATCTCCTGCCAAATAATAAGAGAAGTGGTCCTTTCTTGTCGCCTGTCATCTCTCTCCCTCTTTCTCAGGTCTCTCGTGGTGTCTTTATCTTCACGTCGTCGCCACATGTCTGTGTTTATCGCAGCCACTCATCTTCATCTCTTGTCGTTCTCTCTTCTCTCTAGTCCTCGTTAAAGATCACAACTCTCAAAAGCTGTCTGATTGGCCTTTTTTTTTTTCAAATCTCAGAGATGCTGAATGTGAGCCGGGGAGGTCCCTGTAGGATTCAGGGATTACAAGATGATATTTAATGTTTTGGATTTTTTTTTTTCCAGAGCAAGCTGTTCTCATAGAGGCGGTGATATCTAGCAGTGACATATTTTCAGAAAGCCTTTCTTTCATGTAGTATTTCCTCCAATGCCCGTTGCTGAATCCCATAACCTGCAGTCAGTCTTACCTGCTTTTATGTTTACATTCCTCTGCTGGCCACACAGCAGGCAACCAGTCTGCTTTGCCAAACCTCTCACCTTAACATGTCAAGCTGTCATTCTAATAAAACCCTATTGCGTACAGCCTCTGGTTCCTGCATTATGGATGGCTAGTCGACACAGCATCTGTCTCCTTCTGCCTCTCTGCTCCCCTTACTCACTCCTTTTTTCTTTTTTTTTTTTTTTTGCAACTTGAGCTGAATTAGGCTCCTTTTGTGTTCTTCAGCAGTTTACAATGTCTCACAGCGGGCGCCACAGATAAATGAGAAGGCACTGTAATGTGTCTATTGTGATTTTTTTGTGTGATGTGCCCTTTCTATTTCTTTCTTTCCCTCTTTCTTCCTTTTGCATTTTTTTTTGCTTGCAGGAAATTGTGTAGAGGATCAGTTATTCTGACACCGCACACACTAAACACATACCTCGAGGGGGTGTTACTATCAAAGCCAGTGTTTGGGGTATAATCCATTTGAAATGCAGTTATCTGTTATAACTCACAGACAGGGCTGGAGCCGAGCCTGGCTCTGAGGAGGGACCCTGCCCAGATGCTTGGCACAGCCGCTCGAGCTGCCTGGCCTACAGCAGGGGCTGCACACTGGGATACTGGTATTACCTCTTGTGTGTGTCCCAACAAATTATCCATTTAAAGACTGCATGGAGAGTTTAGCTCCATTGCCTTCCCTGCCCTGGTCTTCTATCTTCCCGCTTTATCTCTCCCACTCAGTCGCAGTCCTTTCTCTCCTTGTCGCTTTCTGTTGATGATAGCAATCGTGTTTTAAAGTAGGTTAACATCCTGGGTGCTCTGAGGTGAGCATCTCAAATTCAAAAAAACTGAACATAAGCACTTGTCATCGCGCTGTAAAGGTAAAATATATTAACTTTTACTTTCTGGCGAGGCGCTCTCTGTGGCTGTTTCAACAATGTGCTTTGAACTTAGCCAGGCTCGGCTCAACTTTTATTAGACTTTCTTTAGACCGGCTGAGTGCTGGCTCCTCAGTAGTCAGGCAACCATTAATAAAATGTCCAACACCACTTCAGTTCTGGGCATCAAAGCAATAACCACTCGACCAAGGGAAGAGAACCAGGAAGCCTCTCTTCTCCAGAAGGGAATATTTTTTTTGGATGGACTACTGAAAATGGCGAAAGAACATGGACATTATTTTACTGAATGTCATTTGTTTGTTCCAGCAGAGTTTAGCACCGGTATTAAATTTAATCCCCCTCTGCTAATGGCTCCTTGGAGCAGTGTTTATGTGTAGATGTCATTTAAACCCATCCAGCTGCCAGTTACAGTATGTGCACTGCAGACATAACTAGACTAAGTGTTTGCTTTCTGCAGACATAATGTGATCTGTTTTATGGACAGGTGATAATATGTTTAAGAATAGTGCAGTATATCCCTCATTAGGTGTCTGGTTTGTCCTTTGTTGGTCTTAGGTTGGCACATACCGATTGGTAGAAATTCATCATTTCCTGAAAAAAACATCCATTGTTCCACATTTTTTTTACGATGTATGCATACAGTTTATATTATTTATATGCTTGATATCTATCTCTAGTAATGCTTGTAGCCAACAAACTTTATTTTTATGCAACGATTCTCCTGCAGGCTGTGAAAGCAAATTTCTTTTTGGAGGGCAAAGCAAGTATCTTTGGATCTTATATATATATATGTATATGGAGTCTGGCAATATCTAATATTCATTCCCACCACACTACATCATTCCAGCCATTTTCTATTGTTTATTGTGTCCTCTTTATAGCCACGCACTGCGTGGTTTCGTATTCATAAATGATCTTACACTTCAAGATGACGAATTCATCCAGTAATTTAAGTATTTCTTCTTTTTTTTTAATGCAGATTTTTGCCTCATAAGGGACCATTGAGTCTTCATACCCCTTTGTTCTTGTTATATCCCTTTGGCTTCCTCCTGTGCCCTCCTTTATTCTTCCAGAACATTGGTTTTATATTATAAATGATAGGGAGTTTTTTTTTTTTCTGTCGTGCATTACAGGATATGTTTGGTGCTGTTACTTCTCTGGATCTACTGGTGCATGAGATTGTTGTAGTGTATCAGTTAAGTCAGGAGTCTGGCAGGCTCATGGCTTTTCCAATAAATTGTAGTGATAGTTATTTTCTCTTCGGTGCAGTTATTGCTTTGATATCTTAATCAAACTATAATCTCGCAAATCTTGGATCAAGGGGTGTCTTTTTTTAAATTTTACTTGAAATTAATTGATTAATTAGGAACTTACAGACATAAAGCTTCTTACAAGAACAGTTTTAATCTTCACTTTCTTGCCCTTCAGGCTCCGACAGAGATCATCATTCTTTTCCCAATCGCAGTGATATTTCCTCCCCTCGTGCCACGGTGTCACATTTGTTTGTTATTCCTGACCCCAGCTGTCACAGTGACACTTTCTCTTCTCGTCACCAGGTTGTTCACGAGATCGACACCCTGACTTGTGACCTGCAGTTGGAGGAGGACGGACTGACGGACAGCTCTAAGACGGACACGCTCAACTCCAGCTCGAGCTCCACCACCACCACCACCACCGCTTCCAGCCTGGAGAAGATGAAGCTCTTCCCCGATGACTGCTTGTTCAAAACACCCGCGCCCCTCACCCCGGTCCCCGTCAACCCTTCCGGAGTCCTGACTGTACTCAAGAAGCCGCACCCGCCCCTACCGCCTCCGAGACTTACCCCACTGAGAGCCGAGGATCACAACATTAAGAATCTGCCTCATCCGACATTAGTACTATCAGGGAATATATCCAAGGCTAACGGGTCTTTATTGAGGAACGGCGGAGTTTTCCCACTGAAACCAAGCAGGGATTTATTCTCCTCCACACCTTGCTTCATTTCTAATGACAGCGGGATCCCTGAGTCAGGTCTTGTTCCTACATTGCCCAGGCCCATGCCACTGCTCCGCCATGAAAAGAACAAATGCCCCAAGGCCCCAGGCAGGGAGCCTCGTGAGAGGGAACGTGTGCGTTTCAGTGAAAAGGTCCAGTATCACGGCTACTGCCCGGACTGTGACCTCCAGTACGATGTAGACGACACAGAACTACACTTGCAGGCTGAGCTGAACGACCTGAGGCTCAGTCCGGTGCATTGCTGCTCTTCCTCCTCCCCACCTCCTCCCCACGCTCTTTCTCACGAGCTGATGTTGGAAAACGGCGGGCTCTCGGTCAGCCACAGTTTCCCGCCGACAACAAACAGTCCTCCGCCTTGTGTGCCTCCTCACACATCTTCCCTGAAGCCCCAGAAAACAATCCTACGCAAATCAACCACCACCACGGTTTGACACCGAACCCCCCCCTCGTTCTGTCTAACTTAAACATTCTTGAATCATTCATAGTGTTTTCTACTTTATGAGCGCTTTCTACTCCAGCTGAACTTTGGATTATCCAAACAGAGAGAGAGAGGAAAGATTTGGAAATAGGAAACAAAGGGATGGATAAAGAGAGTGGAATAGAGAGAAAGGCATCGCCACGGGCGCTGAGACATACACAGAGAAATCAGGAAGAAGCGGTGAGTGTTTGTGCATGTCTGAGTGTGTTTGTCAGGAGGAGAAAGGGGAGGACGAAAAAGAGCAATTGCATGTGTGCAACGATGCATGTATGTGAGTCCGTCTGCATACAAGTTTATTTATGTGTATTCGTGTGTGTGTATGTTTTGTGGGCCTGGGTGAATGTGTGCAGCGTGTGATGTTTGGACTGACGAATGCACAGTGACTTCACGAAGGATGGCTGACAACACTAAAACCTAATTGCATCTGTGTCTTCCTGGAAGCTCTCGGTACTAACGAGGCTCAAACTTAAGAAGTTGTTTCAGAGAAGAGCTCTGATTAATTCATGTCCTTCTGGTTGAAACAAGTAAACCTGCTTCGCTCGGATTTCATCCAAAGCCCTAAAGATTTTCCCCATACACTGACATCTACATATACCCGAGTAGCTCTGAATAAAGGCAGCTAGAGAAGGTGCACATACATCAAAACTGGCGCAGACAGGTAGTGGGAACTGTACCTGCACACACACCTGCCTAGATAAACAATTAGGGTTGACGGATAGTCGAGTTTAAGCTATCTCTTCCTTCATCACCTTCCAAGTTCCATTTTCTTGGTGTGACAGACTGTAGGAGTTAAAGAAGGGAGGGAACACGAGAAGAGTGGTGGCGGGCCGCGGAGAGAGAGAGAGCGAAGTGTTAGATGACACAACTGCCATTTTGATTTGTGTTAACGAACGTCTTTACAGCAAATTGAAAAATCTCATGTTTGATTTTCTAATAAAATCTACGTTTTGCAATAAAAACGCTCCTTCGTGCAGACAGCCACGCTCCACCCCCTCTGTGATATCTACACCACCAACTGTGATATCTGTGAGACTAAAAGGACAGTAATCTAATCAGTTCTGCTCTTGAGTAGAGAGAATCAGGAAGAATAAACGCCGAACTTTATTTCCTTAAGGGAATATAAATCAGCAGTAATATCGTCTCCGTCTATATGAGCAGTTGGTCGTCTCCGTTTTATTAGCCTCTATTAAGAAGCAAATTTAATAAAGCTGTGTTTCCTCTGTGCGTGTGCTGATCTTTTAAATACATATAAAATTGCTTTCAAATCAAGTGTCAAGGAATCTGTAACTGTTTGAGCGTCTGTGCACACGTCTTTGTGTTAGCATAGGTGTGTGTAAAACCACATGTCAGCTTGGCAGACTTGGGGAGACAGCATATCCTGCAGTTAGATGAGAATAGTAGCACCTTCCTCCCAGCAATGCCCTTAATTAGCTGGATTAGACTACGGGAGATAACAGCACTGCCTCAGACAGCCTTTGTACCAACATTAGCCTTGACAAAGCTCTGAACTCCTGGTGCACATAATTTATTTTTTTGATAAACAGAGAGAGGGTAGAGCAAGCTAACAAACAGAGAAGGTAAGTAAAGAAAGGAGGAGAGAGAAAGGTATTGACATGTGATGGAAGGGGGGATATGTGTGGATGTTATATAAATAGCACGTTTAGTATGTATATCATTCATATGTTTGTGTCAGGGGTGGGAAGCTGGATAGTTAAGGGCTCAAAGAACCAGGGAACGAAATAACACACACACACTGATGACTTAATCCAATGCACGACCTCGCTGGCCCTGCAATCTAAAATCAGCATCTGGATTAGGGATCAGTGGATATTCAGCCATGAGAAAAATGAGACTAGAGTGAGAGAGTGGAGGGGCAAAGAGGGAGGAAAAGTGAGGGACAGAATTAAAGAGGGAGACAGGAGGCAAAGAGAATGTGTGATGGAGAGAGAGAGAGACGATGAAAGAACAGAAGGTGGAGGCTGATTCTGCTTTGTGTTTGCTGCCATTTAAGAGCACATGTGGATGCGTGTTTGTCCTCTTTATAATTGCTCCCAGTTCTGAGAACATTCACTGTATTTACCTTGTATTAATGGATTCTAATCAGTCTGGCAGCAGCATGCGCACACACACACACACACACACACACAGAGTTGAGCTGAGCAGAGTGGAGTGCAGCCAGTATCATCAATAGATGCAGCTCATAAGGGCTTATGCTACTGTAGCACTGCCTTACTCGCTAATGCACTATTCATCGAACCGAGGAAATCGACACAGTGGACTTGGCATTGTATGATAAAGGAAACGCTTTGAAAAAGCAAAGGCATTTTGTGCTTTCTGTTCCCTCTGTGTGCTCCTCTTTTTGACCATCAGATCGAGGCTTTGCACACTGTTTGAAAATAGTAAAAAATAAATTAAACCCATAATCCCCCGTTTTTTTTTTTTAAGGCACATCAGTATCCTCTTTTTAACTGAAGTGTTTCTGACTTTTTAGTTAAATTTTTAATCAAAAATAGTCCCTTTTACTATTGAGTTCAATCTGCTGACTGTAGGAATAAATTTATTGAATTTAATTAACCTCTTAGCACAACACTAATGCTAAAGAAAACTTGCGGATGTGTACAGACGACAACTCAGAGATGAGACGCACAGCTTTGACAACAAATGTTGATGTTTGTGCAGTCTCTGAGCTATTAAAGTCGCCATCCACATTTCCATTTTCCAACTCACAATAGTGAGAGAACTGGCTTTTATTGTTGACATTGGCGGATATCAGTGCAGCGTTTACTAGAAGTGGGTGTTTGAAATGTTTTGATACTGGTGCTGATACAGCACCTGAGTTTCAGTACTAGTAATAATGTCTTTTCATTATTTACTTTAGGAAATACGGTATAATTTGCTGAAAAAAAATGTTTTAATTCATCAAAAGAAGCGAGAGGTTGTAAGTGTTAAATGGCCT